AGACTCCTCATGTAATTAATGACTGGGTTTCACTGTTTAGCATTTATATAGGACTTTCTTTTGAGAGACGACATTGGTTTTTAGAGACAAATTGATTTGGGTCCAAATCCCAGCTCTACAGGCATGCAGTTTTTTTGTCTAGTTCCTTTACTTATAAGCAGAAAGACTAGTATGGGAATAATGAAGTCTGACAGGGAACAGCAGCCCAGCGTGTGGTAGGTACTCGGTAGCATTCAGTTTCTCCTTCCTTTTCTGGGAGTCTTCTAGGGTGCTCCTGGCCTAAGCGCTCCATCATTATTATTTGCCCTGAGCGAGTAAAGAACATAGCCCTTTTTCCAGTGAGCATTAGCCAAGGGGTGACCCTGACAATGGTTGTCCAGGTTTCTGTCTTTAAATGTAGATATTAAATGATATAGAGGGAAAACAGTAGGGATGTCTTTAAAAAAAATGGTGATTGGGGCTGACCCGGTGGCACTGTGGTTAAGTTCGCGTGCTCCACTTCAGTGGCCTGGGGTTCGTGGGTTGGGATCCCGGGCACAGACCTACATACTGCTGATCAAGCCATGCTGTGGTGGCGTCCCACGTACAAAATAGAGGAAGATTGGTACAGATGTTAGCTCAGCGATGATCTTCCTCAAGTGAAAAAAGAGGAAGATTGGCAACGGGTGTTAGCTCAGGGCCAATCTTCCTCACCAAAACAAAAAAGATGGTGATTGATAATCATTAATAATAACCTGAATGTTATGGTTGTGACTTCAGCCCCAGGGACAAAGACTTATTAAGGGGATCAGGTACACTCAAGGTGTTGGAGTTGGGGTTAGGAATCCTAAGAAGGCTTTCACTAGAAAACAGTGGATTAAAGAGACATAGAAAAAAGGAGGAGGCAACAGCCAATAAATTTGGTATGTGCTGATTCCACTTGGTTCCCTCCAGTCTTTTTTGTGAACAGGTAAGGGAATAAATTGCAACTGCAAATCATATGATCAGAGAGCAGGAGCTGGGGCAAAGCACAGGAGTGCAGACTGGGCAGAGAAGATAAAGAGAAGGCAGGAGGTGTAGGCGACAGGGTCCTGGACACAGCCGACTGCAGAGGTTGCACACTCTGAGACGTGCTTGTAGAGGATGGGCTGAGACCCAGACAGGAAAAAGCCTGGTTCTGCAGAACCCACAAGTACCCGCGTCTGGGATTGGCAGGTGCATTAGTGAGAAGAACCAGAGGCTAAGAGCCAGAGCCTGAGGCAAGGGTGATGGACAGCAAAGGGAGTGATAACGGGCAGCGCCTGAAAGGAATGGCTGTAATGCTTTAAACTGGTGCCAAGCTGAGTAACCTGAGACCCGATGTGTGATTGACTTCCACGAATGCAGTTTTTAGCCTGAAATCCCCTTACATTGCAGTGAAGTTAAGCCGTGCACTTAAGGTGTCTGTGTGGTGGGCTAGTACAAAGGCCGTGTTACTAAAGAAGGAAGGAGATAGGCAAGTGTGGTACTCTCATGTCACCTAAGCATTCTTGTTGGGGGAAAAATATATAGAAATGAATATTATCAGAAACTCTGGAATGGTAAGAAACCACCAAAGGGATGGCTGGAAGCATGGGTAGGAAGAAGAGAGGTGGAAAAGCGTATCGTATGTACTTGGCCACTTATTTTGAGCTCACGTCTTCCTTGACGGGTCCCTTGCAGCATCATTGCTCAGCAGGGACCTGTGAGGGCGCCTTAGTGAGCCAGCTGTGTTCACCTCTTTTTATCCTAAGTGGTTACAGCAGAGGGCAAAATCATAAAGTCCAACTGGAAGGGAGACTGAGCGTCACTTTTTGTCATACACACAAGAGATTAAATTCTAAAAGAGGTTATCCAGAAAACCAAAAGCCACATCTGTCAGATTATTGACAGAGCAGTTCAGCTTTCCAAAGATTGGCTTAAAAATTAAAAAAGAAACAAAACATGAAATTTGTTTTCTTCTTTCTTCTTTTTTTTTTGTGTGGCTTTAAACTGTGTGCTTTGCTGTAAAGCTGAGGTTTGGCAAATTGAACCAACTGAATTTTTAGGTCTTGTGTTTAAGTATTTAGATCATGACATCTCTTTAATAGAGAGCTGCAAACATCATTCATTCATTTAACAAACATTCACTGAATGCTAATATGTGCCAGGGGCTGCTGGTGATGCAAATAAGACGTGGTACTTGCTTTTTCATACAGATGCTTTTCCAAACTTACAAACTATGTTCCTGGAAGGAATTTTCTCAGTTGCAGAATTTAAAAATTACTGAATATTTGGAAAAGAAATTGGTTAAAATATCAACTGAGCTGAAAGGAAACAAGGGAAAATGTGGAATAAGGAGTATATAATTAATGGTAGGGGGTCTGGAGTGGTCCATGTCTTGCCTGGGCCCCCATGTGTCCATCACCTCAGTCAAGTTGGTCAAGCTCTCAGACCCTGTTTCCTTGTTTGTGTGATAGAGACCATGAGAATTTTGTGTCATGGAGATGTTGAAAAAATTAAATTGAGTAATTATATAAAGCACTAGCTTGCACAGGACAGGTAGGTACTCAATAAATCTCAGCTGTTATTATATATAATATCAGTAAATAAAACATAGGCATCTTTCTCAGTCATTTTGTTTAGTTCTTTAAGAGAATTTTATTTTTTCTATTGCTAAATATAACACGATCCCTAGAAGTTTTAGATAGGGTCATTAGGGCCAATGAAAAAGCATTGGAATGTCAAGAGGATATACTGGAAAGAGTACTGGTTCTAGAATTTTAGGCTTGAGTGTCTGTCTGCAGAATATGACTGCCGTTTAGTAGCCATGAACAATAATGATATAAGTAACCTTCACAGCCTGTTTCTTAATCTGTAAAGTGGATCCAGTAATGCCTGTGATATCTACTTCATTCAAAGCATTTTGAGAATCAAATAAAACAGGGTCGTAAAAATGATTTGCAATAGATAATACCATATATAAATAAAAGTTATAGCTAAATAATAAATAATTCTGAGTTGTCACTGAGCTATGGTACTAATTATTGGTGACTGGCAAAAGGTGTGATTGTGGTTTATAAATACTTTAAGTGAAAATTAAAGTATTCAGTTTATACAGAAATTTGAGTTTTACAGTTTATACAGAAATAGAGTACAGATTTGGAGGAAGTGTGGAGAAACAGAAGACCTGCATTCTGGTTCTTCACTTCTCCTCGACTCATCTCTTTTAGCATATGCAAATGATTTTACTTCTCTGTATCTTTTCAAAAAATTTGTATTTGAAAACAATTATTAAGAAAACTGAAATGTGCTGGGGCCAGCCGCATGGCTGAGTGGTTAAGTTCATGAGCTCTGCTTCGGAGGCCCAGGGTTTTGCTGGTTCTAATCCTGGGCGCGGACATGGCACTGCTCATCAAGCCATGCTGAGGCAGCATCCCACACGCCACAACTAGAAGGACCCACAACTAAAAATATGCAACTATGTACCAGGGAGCTTTGGGAGAAAAAGGAAAAAATAAAATCTTTAAAAAACAAAAAAAACTGAAGTGTGGAGAGTTGAGCTAACTTACAGAAAAGTTGCAAGAGTAATGAAAAAAATGCTTGCATACAAAATTTACTCAGATTCATCTATTATTAGCAATTTGCCCCCATTCCTTTATCAATTGCTCTCCCTTTCTCTCTCTCTCTATGTAAATATATATATTTTTTTCCTTGAACTCGATGAGGGTAAGTTGCATATGTCATGGTCTTGTACCCCTAAATATTTTTCATTGCATATTACCTAGGACTGTGGCTCTGTTTCTTCTTCTTTAGAGGGGGCACAGGTACGTGGTTGTGTGACATGCTCCACAGGGTTGTCAAAATCAAATGAATGTTTGAAAGCACTTTAGAAAGTATAAACTGTTATACAAATTAAGGGATGCGTATTCCATAACCTGGGAAAAATCAAATTATATGAAACCTTAGAGGACTTACAAATTGTAGTGGAGTACAGACTAAGAAAGTCCATTGTCCATGTATGTAACAAGCTGAAGACAAGAGCTAAGGGTCTCTGTGACGAGTGAGAGAAACGAGAAGGATGCTCTCCCTCTACGTGTCATGCCTTTTGAGTTATATTCCTCCTGCGAGGACTTGCATCTTTTTTTGGTGCTGTTTTTTACTTAACAGCCATTTTATGTGGTTTTTTTGGTGGAGATTATGAACATATTTGAGAAAAGGTCATAGAAATTCAAGGGCACTTGCTGCTCAATGGCAGAATAGAGCTGTAAAGAGTGTGGTAAGAGCTCAGCTTTATTTCTTCTGGTTCTCCTGTTGAGTAGTGAAAATGACCTTCTTCATTTTCATTATAGACAACAGCTGAGATACAAATAGAATACGAAATAGGAAAGCGTGTTTTACGTATGTGTTCAACGCATAGCCTTAGTTGAAAAAATTATGAACAAAATATTCTTATGGACCAAATAAATAATTGTTCATAGAATCTCTTTTCAGCATTCACTGAAATAAGGCTTAGCTTTATGACAAACAGGTAATTATTCCACCACACTATCGTCACACTCTCAACAGAATTCTCTCTTTCATCAGAAATTGTAATATTGGTAGGCCTGATTTCTTTATAATTCTAACCAGATTTGCAATCACCTTCTCCAGTGGATTGAAATATGACCAATAACTTAACAATGTAAATGAAAATACTATTTTTTCCTGTGACATATTTCTGTCATTGCTCTGAAAATCATAATGGATTCCTTTGGATACTTACAACAACAACAACAAAGGAAATCTGGAACATGTTCTAAAAATAAAACTCTTTTTCAAAAAGTCGAAACCACAGTTAAACATTCTAAGTTAATCTTTTATTTTGAATTATTAAATTGTTATTCTTTATAGTACAAAATGAAAAATGTAAGTGAATGACTATGAAATAATTTATAATCCAGTAATGATTGATTTTATTTATTTTACAAATAAATCAGTTTTAAACATAAATTATATAGATATATAATGGTATGTACACTCACGTGATTTATTAAGCTATGGAGAATGTTGCTCTTAATCTTCTCTTGGGAAAATTCCAGTACCTGTGGAAGTATTTCAAATGTTTATTTCTCAATGAGGTGACATTAGTGAGGAACAGCTCTACTGTTCAAATGCAACATGCTTCCCTAATATTGAGAAAATGTGATATATTTTGAATTACTTAAAGTGGAGCAGTGAAGTGGGAGTTGGAAGACATGGCTTCTAACGCTGGTTACTCCACTCATTAGCCCTGTAGACTGGAGCTTGTCCTCTGGTGTGCAGAAATGGCGTATCTGCTTTGCATACTCAACTATTGCAAGTTCCAGTGATTTGGCTCAAGTGAAGATGTTTTGAAGGAATAATGATTAATATTGTCGTCATCATTTGGGTCACGTTCTTTTGGCATAGGTTAAAAAAATGCCTTTACAAAGAAGGTTCTCTATAATAAAACCACATACTTTCAGATCATGCATAGCAACAGTGCATGAGTATTTTCTTTAGAGTGGATTTTCTGCAAGGAATACACCTGAACAAGGAATATACCTTTTTCTGGTATTTTTTCCAGTCTCAAGAATTCTCTTCGGTACCTGATTATTCATCATAGCACTCAGCAAGAGGACCCACAGTCACAGAGAGAGCTGGGCTCATACCTTCACGTTCTTGCTAGGTCCTAATGTGCGATAGACACATGAACTCCCTTTAGTCCTGGTAGGGTTTCACTGACTTGCACTCTTTGATAAACTCTCTGGTAAGAATGAGTCTTGTGATTTTAGTCAGGTCTCTGAATATCCCCAGTCCTCAGTTTCCTCCGATGTAAAATGAGAGATTTTCCTTAGATAATCTTTAGGTATACCTCTAACATTCTGTGACTCTATGGTATCTTATATGCCTTTCCTGGAAAACCTATCCCGATTCTAAATTATTGAAGAAAGCTACAAGAAAGAAGATCCAGTAGCTTTGACAGAATGTGTGATAATTTCCTCTTTCTTCTAAGTAATTTACAGTCTCTCATCTCACTGGCTAATTGTCCTACAAATGAGAATGTGACTCTTAGCCAAAGAATTTTTACGATCAAATCCCCCTACAAACAAAAAACCACATCCAATAGGATTTACGATGGTGTTTACAGGGCATTTTAGTTTATGTTATGCCACAGATAGTAGATATATTCATTTAGGCGGGACAGGTCTATGTAATTGGCGCTATCTCTGAAATTCTGGTCTAGCCATAATTTTACAGGTCCTTAAAAGCAGGATTGTCACAATCTCCTCAGTTCAGCTCTCAAGAGAAATTAATTGATAACATAGAATCCTGAGTGGCTGGCATGTGAGTGACACCCAGCTATACAATTTCACATCTAATCAAGGAAGATGGGAATTCTCGTTGGCCTATTGTCTATTTGAATCTGTTTCTGGATGGACTCCAGCTGGCTCAAATGCAGCCCCGGAGAGTGATGTGGGCAGAAGATGGAAAAAAAATATAAGCCAGAGAAGCGGGGCATGAGGTAGTGCCTCCCACATTGTCAAAGGAACTGTCTGGTATAGCTGTGGATTTGCCGCTGGTTAGTTTTCTCAAATTTCTCAATGACAAAATTGCAATTTTCTGTCCCAGTTATCCTTCAAAACCTATGAAGAATAGAATAGCAATGGATGCAAAACTGTACCTAATTAAGAGCTAAAATTATATGACATGATTTTAAGCGGTAGGAGAGAAACTATGAGAAGGAAATTATCAATGGTTGGAATGGTTAAGAAAGAAAGCTCCACAGAGGTAACGGGGGGGATTTTTCTTCAAAGATAGCTGAGATTTGGGCACCATGATGGGAGGGCAGCCGCAGCCCAGAAAACAGTATGAGCAAATGCTCAGCCGTAGAATTAAGCGATTTAAATTCAGGAGATGCTTGACCAGCTTCGTAAAGAGAAGAAAGTGCATGGGGAAGTGGGATGGTTATAGTGGAAAAGATTATGCAGGCCCTTACACGCTGGTATTTTATTTAGACTGGATGCTGTAGAGATTGGGAGATGGCTGTTTTAGAGTAACGGGATGACATGATGAAAACGGAAGATTCGTTTAACACTGCTGTGTCGAATGAGTGGGAGGGAGAGAGAGAGAAAGTATAGAGTTCACTTTAGAAGCATGAGGTGATGCAGAACTGGATGAAAGTCTTTCCCCTTTCTCCTTACCCTCCTTTTTAGTTTCAAGGAGAACGTTTTATTTATTTAGGCTTGTCTTAAGGGAAGAGCAGAGTTTGCCAGTAGAGGAGAATGATGTAATCTAGCTGAAGGAATGGCAGAATAAATGCAAAGAGGTGGTGGGTGGCATGCTCCCGAAAGATTAACCAATTTGTCCAATATAGTGCTATTAATGGCAGCCAAGTTCTAGAATCCAGGTTTCCAATTCCTTTCCCCTGGACCACCCTGCCGCTTCTTCCTAATTATAACACTACTGCCATTATTCAGCAAATTTCCCTTCATTGCTAGTAACGTGTTAATTTATTACTTGCTCAGCGTGAAATATGATTTACCTGAAGCCAATGAGGCAGTCTAGTGGGGTATTCTAAGCTTCCAAAGGGTTTATGACAGTGGCAGAGGCAACTGTGGGAAAACCTCCAATTCCACTTCTGAGATTACTGTCATGGTAGCTCAGAGGGGTAGATCAATGGATAGTGATTTTTGGAGCAAAATGGCTAATGAGAGTAACAGTTGTTATACATGAAGCATGTACCTTATTTTCTCTCTATTTTTTGTCCGTATTTTTGTGCCAAAAAAAATGTAACTCTCTGATTGAACATGTTTTGACCACGTTGATGTTCCTTTTTCTCCCCTTCCTCTCCACTTATTCACTTTTCTTTCCTTACAAGGACCACGCTTCTCCAATTCAAGAAGTCTTTGTATTTCTGAGATGGGTCTAGAGGCTGAACATGTATGAAGAGAATCCTGAACTGAAATCCGAATTTAGACAATCTGAAATTAAGAACTTTAAGAACATCGGTTTACGTTCCATACTCTCATCTCCATGCAAGTACATTAGCCCATTGACCTAAGCGGGTACCAGATGAAGACATCTGATCTAGTATTACGCTTGGCAGCCAAGCCCAACTTTCGTGCTTGTTGCTGATGACATTTATTGACCTAACTATGGCACTTGTGAATTATACTTTTTCCTCTTGCTTCATTGAACTGGATGTCTCAAGAATTGCCAATTCAGTCATTAGCCATTAATAGCTTCCAAATATAAACTGGCTCATGCCAATTAGACCCTCAGGCATGGCAACCCTAAATGAGAAATAGGTTACAGGTGCTGATATTTAGGCTGGCATCTCTCCCATAGGAACCAGAGAATGTGGTTCAGAAAACTCGATTGAGTAAAATAAAACAGGCCAAAGTCTTCATTAAAGACCTGAATGGAATCCAAGTCTCTTTTGAGGAACCAACATGCTGTCAAGTCGCCATAGGTCAATGCTAGTCTCACAAATTTCTAGTATTAGAAGTACATTTTAATTCCAAATCTTGCTGACCCAAGCAGCATATTCTTTCAATCACGCTGCCCCCCAACATCTAGTGGGGGAGTTTGAAATGGGAAATGCAATCTTCTACTTCTAATAAAATTATACCTAATCCTGAAAACTATTCAAGGATTTAGTATAAGGATGTGACTGCATGGCTCTCCTATTTTGAAGAGGATCTTAAAATGAAATGTGGCTGAAACAAATAAAAGAGCAAAGCAAGAGGGAACAGAAAGAAAAGCAGGTGGATGGGAAAATCTTCCCAAGGCTTAAAATTAAGAATGATTTGTCTCTGTAGTGGGTGAAGAAGGGCGCATGTCTATCATTTGCAAAATACGTCATTCATACATTCTGCAAAAGGATGTCAGCCCAGCTCTTCCAAGGCAGAAATCTAAAAGTTTATGAGCAGAAGCAACTTAAATATTTCATCTCTTCTTGCCTCTAGACTCTCTTTAAATCATATGTCCCTCTCTACCAACATTTTCTTAGTTGAAAGAAAAGAATTATGGATGTTTTGCAGATGTAGTTTGTTGTTCTGACTTGAAAATTCATTACATCCCCAAAGCTGAAAAACACTAGAATTGTTATTTAGCCAACCATTCTCTTTTTTTTTTTTTTTAAAGATTGGCACCTGAGCTAACAACTGTTGCCAGTCTTCTTCTTTTTTTCTGCTTTTTCTCCCAAAATCCCCCCAGTACATAGTTGGATATTTTAGTTGTGGGTCCTTCTAGTTGTAGCATGTGGGACCCCGCCCCAGCATGGCCTGACGGAGTGATGCCATGTCCGTGCCCAGGGTCCAAACTGGTGAAACCCTGGGCCACCAAAGCAGAGCGTGCGAACTTAACCCCTTGGCCATGGGGCTGGCCCCCATTTTCTTAATCTGAGAAAAGATCCTTTTTATCCAAGGAGGAATATGTCATAAATCCCAGTTGTCTATTTTGTCTTATGCCCATCAATGATCACAAAATTAGATTCTATCCATTTAAATTATATTATTAAACCTTTATATATACATATATTTACCATGTTTGCATTATAAAGTTATCCTAAGCATAGCCGTTAATTTACAGATAACAGATAAACATTTGTTCCATAATGACCATTGTCACTTTGGAAATTTATGATGTTGCAAAATGAAATTCCACTTGCAGAACCCCAATTTTCCTTAAGTGATGTCACCATTACCCTGTTTCCTGGGCTTGATACTTCAGCATAAACTTTGTCACTCATCTTTCTTTTGCTATTTTTCTTTTCTTCTTTTCCCCAAAGCCCCCAGTACATAGTTGTATATTCTAGTTGTAGGTCCTTCTGGTTCTGCTATGTGGGATGCCACCTCAGCATGGCTTGATGAACGGTGCTAGGTCCACACCCAAGATCTGAGCTGGCAAAACCCTGGGCTGCTGAAGTGGAGCAGGAAAACTTAACCACTCGGCCACAGGGCCAGCCCCTCTTTTGTCCTCTATTTGACCAATCACCAAGTTGTTGTTGTTGACACTGTTGTTGACACTGTTACTTATTTCTTCATAATATATATATATATTTTTTGAGGAAGATTAG